TGGAACTGGTAATCTGAAAAAATAAAAAAAATTATATTTGGAGAGTAAAATAGAGTTTATGGTTGGAGATGCCCCTACAATTACTTCCTTATTTTCTGTAATGATATTTGATTGAGCATAACATTTTCTTTAATAACAAAATAGAATTTAAAATAAGTTATAAATATTTGTATGATTATAAAAAACTAGTATATGTGTCCGCGCGTTGCGCAGATGATTTAAAATGTAATAATTTTATAATTTAAAATAACTAATAAAATATATAATGCACTTAATAATATATTTAATTTATTATAATAACAATATAATAATACAAATCATTAACTTGTGTATTTGAGCAATATTAAATTTACATTATTAGTACACAATTTAATTTATTGTAATAAAATATAATATATATGGATAGTTATCTTAGAATTCAAATTTTAAAAATTAAAAATTGAAAATTAAAAACTTATAATATATTTTAAAATCACAATTTTCAACTTAATTTAATGTTATTATATATATTGTGAATAGTCTTAAATTTGCTAAATGACTTATAATAGTGATATTGTTCAAGATAGAATTCAACGCTAGCTAGATACAGATAAATATTATTTATCTTAATTCAAATTTAAATTTTATTTCTCATAATATTATTTTTCAATTTTGAAATTTGATTGTACATTAAAAGTAATATTATGAAAACAAAACTTAATGCCTTCTATGTTTATGATTAGGGGTGTTCACGGTTTGGATAAAAATCGATCCAAATTGAAAAATCGAACCAAACCGATAAAATTTTTATTTGGGTTTGATTTGGTTTGGTTTTAGATTTTTGAAAACCGATAGTATTTGGTTTGGTTATGGTTTTATTCGAAAAAGCCGAACCAAACCGATGAATTATATACATATATTTTATTAATATACATACTTAATATATTGTTTTATACATATATTTTATTAATATACATACTTAATATATTATTTTTATAAATAATTTTAAAGATCTTATATATGTTTTCATTATAATTTCTTTATAATTTACTTATTGAAAGCAAAAATGCCCAAGGTGAAAACATTTATTTTATTGATTTTATGTATAAGAGTGTCTATGATAATTCTTTGTGGGACTGAAAATGTTAATGTTTTTTCCTTCTAAGCCAATATAGTGAATTTTAAAGCTTTATTGATAGTAAATTTAGTGATTGAAAGTTTAGTAATTTAAGTCATTCTAACTATTTTTCGTTTTGAATGGATTGTTGTCACTTTTTTCACATTTTGATGATTTTTTTCTTTTATTTTTGTGTATGATTAATAACCGAATAACCGAACCAAACCAAACCGATGAATGTATATTATGTTTGGTTTGGTTTGGTTTGATAATTTCAAATCCGATTAAGTTGGTTTGGTTTTGATTTTGACCAATAACCGATCCAAACCGACCCGTGAACACCCCTATTTATATAGAGACAATTCCTCATTTATCTTGTGTTAATAAATTAATTTTATATACACATAAGTAATAACAATAGGTTTTATGTTTCAGATGCATTTATAATATAATTTTTGTATGCAGTTAAAATAAAACTTCAATGAATTAAAGTATAAAATATTGAGAACTTCTTAAATTATATATCAATTAAAATGAAAATAAATTGATAAATTATGTTTATAATAACATTATACTTGGATTATTATTATTATTATTATTATTATTATTATTATCATCATCATTATCATCATCAGTTATATTTTTTAGATAAAAGGTTATATCTTATTAAAAAAAATATTTATTTTTAAAAATGCATTAAAATCTTAAATAAAACTTAAAAATCTTAAAATGATAAATTTTTAAAAGAAAACTTCCCTTGGGGGGTTTTTTTAAAAATAAAATAATTTTTAATTTAAAAAGTTCTTCAATTTGTTTAGAAGTAGGAGTGTAATGGAAGTTTTTAAAACTCCCCTGTTTAGTTGGGTATTTTTTTATTCAAAATAAAGATTAAAAACCCTTTTTTTCCCCATACGTGGTTTCTTTTAAAATAAATAATTTTAATTTAAAAGTTCTTCAATTTGTTTAGAAGTAGGAGTGTAATGGAAGTTTTTAAAACTCCCCTGTTTAGTTGGGTATTTTTTTTATTCAAAATAAAGATTAAAAGGACATATTTAGTTGACTGTTTTTTTTTAAAAAAAATAATACATTATTATTAGTATTATTATATTATATTATTATTATTAGTTTAAGTTAAACATAAATTTATTATTATTGTCATTATTATTAGTTTGGCTTTTTTTTTTTTTTATA